TTTAATTGTTTTAAAAAAAGTTTTAACTGCTTTTAGTGTTTGTATAATGCTTTCTAAACATTTCAAATGCTTACAAAATATTTAAAAAATGTTTTTAATTATTGACAAAATTAAAAAAAAATTTTTATCGATATGCATGACATATTTATTAAATATTTATGATTTCTTACAAAATATTTTTAATAGAATATTAGAGTTTTTTTTAAAGAATATTAAAGGTATGCCAAACATTTTAAAAATGTTTTAATGTTAACGAAATGTTTTTTGATTGTTTACAACATACTAGTTTCATTACTTCATGAAACCTTTTAGTTGTAAAAAAACTTCAACAACTGTATGAGTATAGTGTATACATCAGAATTTTGTCGTACTCTTGAAAAGAAGTGCAAGAAATATTTCTCTATTCAGAAAGTATGTCTAAAAGAAACTTTTATCACCAGTAGTGTACTAATATCGAGTGTCTAGCATTTTTCGTAAAGTAATGTATTTGCTAATCAGTGTGTCATAAGCAAGAGGTATTTTTTCACGGATGCACAAAAAAGCCTTTTATGGATTTTCAATGGATATCTAACTTTTATGGATTTTCAAGCCTACAATTCATTTGTATGTTGTAGTAAACACGTTATAAAGGAATTACCTACGCACCTCAAATGGTCAACAACATTAAGTAACAAGAAAAACACACACACGCGCATAGCCACAGGGTTGCAATAAAAAGTCCGCAATCGTCACACTTCCTCATTCGCCAAAATAAACATCAGCATCCCTTTTAAAGAGCAAGCGAGCGTAGGCGCGCCTCTCGGATTCTCCACAATTACGAGAGCAGAATAAACGAGACTCAGTTTAGCGCCCGTCACTTTCTTACAAGTCCGTATACCCACTGACTCGCTCTACGGCACGCGAGAGAAGATTTCCGGCTTCTGTACCTGCTCCTTCTGCAATATGCCGAGAAACAGCAGCACGGTATTTTCGTGCCGATCGGTCAATTAGAAAATCTCCGTAAGCCAGTGCATACGCATGGGCGTGTATTATTCGCCAGTATTACAAGCCTGCGAGATTTTCAGTTCGTTAGACGAACGGTCGCAGTCTACATCTTTCTGAGAGTGTATTACACGAGATGGGCTAATGGTGTCTCAATGATAATGACTGCCTGCTTGATGTATACAACCTGGTGTGCCAATTTTGTTGCTGTGTTGGTGTTTTTGATCTTGTTCCCAAGGCTGCCAGAGCGTGTTCTTTTTTTTATTTTTTTTATTATTTTTTTTTTTTTACTTTTTCTTATACAAGAAGCACAAAATGATGTTTTTTTTTGGCTGTTGAAAGGTTTATCTGTAATTGTTAAGTAAAATAGTATCTGGCGATAGTTAGAGTGTAAATAACCAATTTTTATACTTCTGTATTTATTTGCTGAACCAATTTATGTTGAAAGTATCAAATTGCGTAATTACGGTAATTCGCAAGAATCACGCAATAAACGCGTCAAATGAGCCATTCCACAAAAAATTTTTAACTAGAAGTTCCCGGAAGTTGGAAAACGTTGTTTCATTAGGGTACGTCTACAGGAATACCGATACTTTTTCTCCTTATCTCTGCAGAAATATGAGAAAAGTTGCAAACATGCAGTAAAATTAAGTTTATTACTCAAGTAAGGAGTCCAATTACAACATTAACAAAACTAATGCTTAGATAATGTTCAGCTACATTTTTTAGAGATTCGTAAAACATTATTGATCGTAAAGTTAAAAAATAAAAAATGCAGTCTAGAACGCTTTTTGGATCAGATTTATGTTGTTTGAAATGTTAGTATGATGGTGCTTGGAATAAAGATCTTTCTTTATCCCATTGGATTCGTAATGCAGGTCATTTAAAAATGTTGGATACGTTTTTTTTATTTTTTATATGAATGAAAATTGACAACGATAAAGTACGTTCTCAAAGTAATGCATAAAAGTGTCAAGGGGCAATAATATCGTCACTATTGATTACCAAAAAAGACATCGTGACTAAATATAGAAATAAAGAAAAAAAAAATTGTTTAACTAATCTATGGAGTTAAATTCTTAGTACCTTTTGAAGAGCTAATAATTATGATCTCATTGAACTTCTCCTATTAAAGTAAAATGACAAAAGATGTATTTAAAATTCTCACTCATTTACACGTTTAATAATCGTACGATGATTATCCTTTTGTTTCAGATTGTACAAAAAACACTAATATGGGTGGTGTGTATCGGGATCCTGAGTGGGACGCAGGCTGAAAATGACAGATGGTCACGCCAGATTACAAACAGCGAGTGGATTCCACTCGCGAATCCTCGTGGCAGCCATAAAATCCAGAACGCCGTGCCCGTAGCACCGCCAGTAGCTCCTGCAGCTCCAGCAACTCCTGCTCTAGCTGACAGTAGTGTACAACCAGCCGCTCCCATGCCCGCGGTGTCTTTTCCACCGGCTTTGCAGCAACAATATCAGGATCAGCTGCTGCAATTACAAAAGACTCAGGAGAGCATTCAGAGGCTTTTGATGCTACAACAGCAACTCAAGGCCCAGCAGCAACTATTACAGGTAATTTTCTTTTTTGTTTTTTTTTCTTTGTTTTTATAAGGGAACTACATCGCAGTATACGCTCTAAGTATTTGAAAGCCATTTAAAAGATATGAAAATATTTTAAAGTCACCAAAAGTTTTTCATATTCCTAGATATTTTTAAAAGTATTTCAAATTCTTTTCACACTGAGAATGATTTTAAAGTCACTAGATTACTTAAAATAACTTTAAAGTCGTTGCATGACTTTAAACGACTTAAAATAAATTTGAAATTAGCGATGGTTTAAAGTTTTTCTAAATTATTGTAAAATGTTTAAAAAATTTTCGAGGCTTTTAAAATATCTTTATCATTTTAAATTAATTTAAATCCACTGGGAAATATTCAATGGCTTTGATGATGTAATATTTTCTATACTTGGATATCAAATTTAACATTGAATTATTATTGGTTTCAAATACATAAGTTTTCTTTGAAAAAAAATCTATCGTAAAGGATTATAGTCCGAAAATTTTTTTTGCTTGTCATCCACCTATTTTGTTACATGCAGAGATCAATGTTTCAATTAAATTTTCAAGAAGTAATGTAAATGCTAGTAATCATAACTAAATTATAATCTGACGTACAAAAAATTTCCCAGTCGCATGCTTACCAGCCAAACACTTTTGGAAGTCCAGCGAGTGAGAAACAGGCGCTTCATCAGAGCACGATCGTAAATCTCCAAACGCTGCCGGAATTGGCGCCGGAGGTCCTAGTACCACCCGTGCCCTCCTCTGACGCTCTACCTCCAGTATTTCGAGCTCAAAACTTCCACTTAGCCGAGCCCGGACTTAAGCACAAGCCAAACGGCCCGTTCAACGTTGCGAATTCAGCTGCCACTAGTTCTGAACAAGATTACCGACAAGCTCACGATGAATCGATATTACGGAACCAACCCCAAGGGGACGCCGCTAAGGATTACAGCTTGAAGCAGCCGAAAAATCGTTACGAGGGCGCTTCGCACAGGCAAAAGGAGGAGCCCTCTCATGTGAATTTCGTGACTCCGTCGACGAGTGCCGACGAGCAAGAAGAGGTAATTCGCAGCCAAGTTTCTTCTTACTTTTTTCTTTTTTCTCTCGAATTTTATGCTTCTTTTCAAAGTGTCGTTTAAACTATGACAATGTACAAGTCCGCACATTTTCTTATTACCTTTTGTCACGAATATATGATGAAAAATTTTTTTTTTTAATAATTTGTTGAATTTGATTTTTTTCATGAGNTTCCAGGACGTAAATCAGTAAATATCTAAATATTATGGCAGATATTTATGTATTTCTGTATGAAACATAAGCTTATATATGTGTGTGAGTGTATGTACATAGGTTCCACCTGTACCCATAACAAAACAATGTATTATAATAACACATATTTATTTTTCTTTATAAAACTTTCAATTTGTAATTTTTATACAATACAATTTTTTTTACACAAGATAACAAAATCACATGCTTGTAGTTATCGCAGAGACTAGAGTCTGTCCTAATTATTTAACATATCACTTCCAATGAGACTTTTCAAGTCACATAAAAATTAAAGAATTTTATTTACATTAGCTTCGAATATAATTGTATGTACATATATCTGTCCCAAGTCTTTTTAATTATTTACTCATTTTTATTATATTGTTTTAACGAATAAAAATCAAATACTTACATCTTTAGCACAAATATATTACAAATATACACATACGCTGCCGTAACCAACGCAGCAGACATAGTGCAGATACTGCAGAGTGAACACCACCTGATGTGTGATATGTGTGTACATGAACACTCACACATTGGAGACCCGTGCGGCGATGCCAAGACTTCATTCATCGCTACTTCCCCCTTGCCCCGCAAGTGGTTCCCCCCGCTATCTCTACCGAACGTCCTTAAGCCCAAATAATAGATAGTTTTTAAAAACCACATTGTAGTTAAAAACTAAACTGGTACAATTGCTAAGTGAGAAACAGACTGTGTTAAAATACATAAAAATTTTTTTTTTTAATAATTTGTTGAATTTGATTTTTTTCATGAGTATATGCTGAGTACTTTCATTAAACAATTATTCTTGAGGATACTTGTATGTATTACATTAGTAGGAAGCGACTTTTGAATAATTTGTCCACTTGATTACATATATTAGCGTCTAAGAAATTTTTCAAAGCGTAATGAATTGAGGAGAGCCCCAATGAAACTTAATAGGTGTTTTATAAAATCTTTTGTTTCTCATTCGTGTAGATCCAATTGGTATATGTACCAGCTGAAACATTAGCTCAACGAGGCCAGGCCAAAATTTTGAGACAACACGCGAAAAAACTCAAACCCAATAGACAACACCAACGGTACGAAGAAGACTCTTCCTTGGATGATGCATCTGACGACGAATATGCCCACGAGATCCTTCATCAGCTTCAACTCCAACATGACGAGAAGAACAAATTTTTTAATACCGAGAGGCAAAAGGATATCGACAGATTACACGCCGAGCAAAAGGAACTGGAGCGTTTAGCTCGCGTGCAACAAGAGATCGCGAGAAAGGAAATGGAAGCCGAGAAGAAGCGCAAGGAGCTCGAAAGAATCGCAACTTTGGAGAAAGAAAAAGAGTTTAAGCGGGAAAAAGAGGCTAGGCTGAGAGCAGAGGCCATCCGTAACCAGGATATTCAATCGCAAACCTACGACTTTGATCAATCTCAAGATCAGCCATTGGCTCATGAATCCCAACTTCATCATCAGCATTTGACTGAAGTTACGAGTAAGAATCTGAAAAATACTAGAACTCGTAGCAACAAACCACGGAGTAAGTTACATCAGTTCCATCAGGAGCTTACGGAACCAGAAACGGCGCAGTCCAATACACCAACTCCTAATCAACCACCACTATCTGTGTATATGGGTGATTCACTGTCATCAAACCACCATCAGATTCGCTTAGCTGATGTTCTAAAGACTTTGAAAAATGCTAAGTCTATTGCTGTGCTCGATGGCTTTATAGGCCCGGAAACTCCACGAGTTTTCGTTGGACCAAGACACTTGGAGCCCATGCCAGGCTATGTCAAATTTGATTTGCCTTACCTATCTTCCATCGAGAACAATCGTGTTGAAAGAAAAGTTGACAAACTTCCGTTCTTCGTAGCACCTTTGAGCTTCGAACCACCCCCAGGATACTCAAAGATTTCGTTCCCTGCTCCACATATAGGATCTGTAGTAATCAATAGTTTGGAAAATGTTGAAATCAAGCCTCTCGACAGCTTGAACCCAAATCCAACCCCGTTGATCGAACCTAATTCCTACGTAGTAAATAACCAGCCATCCACAGGTTTTGACGTTACATCCTTGTCTTATTCGCAAACTCCTACTACGGCGAGATACGAAGTGTCATCGTTACCTCCTAGTCAATCGAGCACCAAATGGAGATTTAATGAAGTGTTCCAGAACAAACCGTCAACGGATATGCCATCAGCGGTGACAGCAGCTTCCTACAACGAAGAACGATTCCCTAGTAGCAAGTTTGAAAGTTCATCTAAGAATAGGAACTACTACAATCTTAATGAAGTATCATCAACCCCTAACTACTTCAGTCCTAAGACTGTATCGTCAACCCCCAACTACTTCAGTTCGAAGACTGTATCATCAACTCCCAACTACTACAGTCCAAAAACAGTACCGTCAACATCCAACTACTACAGCCCTAAAACAGTATCATCCACACCGAGCTATTACAGTCCCAAAACAATAACAGCATTCTCCTTCGAGCAATCAACACCATCGTATCAACAGGAACCAACGAGGCAGCACAATGTCCAGCCTCACTACGTGACTCAGAGCATCCGCAATTTCCATCAAGCTATAAACCGTTTTCCTGATCCCATAGAACCTCATCAGCAGAAGAATCACCGCTACCCTGTCGATCCTACGGGACACACCGTGACCAACGCGTATTCCATCAATCAGTCTCCTCATCACGAGGATCAGTCTCGGTATAATTTACCTTCCGAATTGCCGGCCATCTCGCCACAACTTCCTGGTTTGGTGAATGCTTTGGTCGAAAAACCTGAACTGTCCAGTAGTATTCAACCGATAATAACAACTACGCCAATCCCATCGTCTACTACGACAACTACAACTGAAACGCCGACCACCACGTACAGATCTCGTGCACGACAAAGGTATTTTATAACTAATAATCCCATATTTAATTCAATGTTTACCTGTTAGTCTTTGGAGTTTAACGAGTATTTCCATATAATGTTTTATGAAATGCGAATCTAATCTTGGAACTTCTCTGTTACAATGGAACTAAAGATGCGTAGTCAAAGTAAAATATTACTTTAAAATCATCTGAAGTTGTCAAATACTTGACAAAATGTTAAGATTGAAAGATTCGCCTCACTATAATTAACGCGAAGAAATATTAATGGTAAATATCAGTAATTAAAAGCTACGTGATACAAATTTTTCAGAACAAGAGTAACTGCTTCAAGGGCGTCGACTACTTTGTCTCCTCCGTCGAGAGGAAACTCTGAAAGAACAAGACGACCAATCAATAGGTCGAGATCAAAATATACCAGCACAACTGAAGATTATCGTGACTCTTCTTATGATCCAACAAGAAGGAGCTCAGTCACGACTTCGAGATACGATGAACAGAATGTAAGACGACCTGCTCGTCCTCAGAACTACAAGCCGAGGGATGAAGAAACCAAAGAGTCGATACAGACTCAGGTATGAATTTATTACGTTTTAAAATAAGTGCTGCCAACCCAATGATACCAAAAAAAACAACTTTATTTTCGTGCGTTGCTATTTCATTGAATAAATTCTCAAACTTAATATATAAATTTCAAATGTTTTGTGTAGTTGTAATAACAATAAAATGGATAAACGATTGTAAGAATTTAACAAGCAATTTAATGAGTACACATTATACGACGTTTATGGTACAATTAGATTCCAGGCATATATCTTTTTCTTCTTTCCAATTAAAATTTTTTCGTTATAAACTATGAATACCACTTTTCAACAATCAGAAGAAATTAGTAACTTTCGATAAACTAAACGAAAAATGTAAAAGACGTTTTCCCAGCGTTTTTCTCTGAACAGTTAAAAACGTTGAGAGCCGCTAAAATGCAGAAAGCTAATTACTCATTCGAGTACCAAACCCTCCACTCGACGAGCATTACCTTACGTAAGTACGTCATTTACTTTGCAGATCGTCGATTCGGATTCTCCGAGCGAGCAAGGTCAGCGCGGTAACGCCTTCGAAAATGCTTCCCCGATCGATTCCACCTCACCCTCCCAGAGCAGCAGCTCCAGCGACACCAGCAGTTCTCAGGACGCTACTCTCAAGTCGAACTCCAATGTCTATCAGCAGGACGATTATTCAAGCTCAACGGCAGCCCCCATCGATAACCTCTCGCACCGGAGCACTGGCATTTCGGACTCCCTTCTTTCCCTAGCTGGTCTCGAGTACACTCGAAAAGCAACCCAAACTTCGACGACCCCTCCGACTTACGAGCAGACGAGAAACGATGAGCAGCCGATCAATGGGTTCAATTATCGGACTCACGAAGTCAAATTGCAGCCCAATCGAGAGTTTTCCTTCTACAGGCCCGGAAAGACACAGGGTGTAGTGTTCGAACCGATCGCCAGCACCGGTTTGCCAAACGTGCAGCGGTCCCAGCTTGAGGACTTCTCGCCGGTTTATCACGCTGTACCACAACAGTACGAGAAGAACGAGACCCCGAGACCGGTTTACCACAACATTCCAACCGATTCCAGGGACGACGAGCAGCCAATTTTCTTGCCGATCCCGCATGATAAGCGGGAGGAGTACGCTTACCAGACCACTCTGACTGAAGCTGTTCTCGAGGTGAGAACCAAATAATCACAGTCACGTTAATTAATAAACAATCACACATTAATAAATAATGTTCACGAGAAGTTAGTGCTTTAAGACATTGTTCGAATATACTTCTCTCGTTCAACTGCATATTTGTATCGTGATGGAATTCCAAACTTCCCCAGCATTCGACTCTTTTCTAAAGCCAAGTTTTACTGTAAGTCATTGCTGATCAATAGCAGTAACGAACATACGCGTTTGAACTTGAAGTTGTGCCAAAATCAAATTCTCACACAAGCCAGAATCAACCTTATGAATAACTCTTTTTCTACAACGATTTCAATTAATTTGCTCGTGCACACGTGTATTGTCGTGGGATTGAAAATTTCTTGAAAACTTTTTGAAAGTCCTACTTGCTCGCTCGAGTTGAGCGTGGAGGAGGAAAAGTCAAGGTTGGAACTCTAATCCTTGAAGTTTATTGTTCTGAGTCTTGAGAGTTTCTATTTTAGGTTGTTTGTTCCATGCCTTCCCACATTTGATAATTTAATTCACAACCGCAGACCACGACTCCCACAACGACAACAACTACGACAACGAAAAAGCCAACAACAACGACAACAACGACGGAAGTACCAGTAATAATCCGTCAACGCGTGCGAGCTCGACTCGGCACTCGTCCAGCCCACCAGCAGGACTCGGTGATCCAAACGCGTCCACGTGGCTCTCAAGACGAGTACGTGCGATTCAGCGCCGTGAACCAGGACAGCCCGCAGCGAGCGAGACAGCGAGCGAGACCAAGTCGTACTCGTCAGCAGCAGCAGTCCCAGCACAACAACTCGCCGATACAGACGGAGGGTCAGGAGTACGTGAGGATCCAGTCGGTGCCCGCGCAGTCGCGCAGACCACTGGCCTCGAGGACGACCCCCGCGAGCACGAGCACTACGACGACGACGACAACGACCACTACGACCCAGCAAACGCCCCTCCCCGAGGAACGACCGAGTGCCGAATCTGGGGAACAGGATGGTTTTGGATTCATTAGGTCTCCCAACTACAGGCCTGCCCAGTCCACCGGCCAGAAGACCACCCAGTCACAGGTCAGAGTTTGTTCTACAGCTATGTTCAATAAGTACAATAAGACTAAGTCCATTTTTGTATGGTTTTTTTTTATATTTCGGTAATGTCATACGTCTACTTTTTGAAGTAGGAACCCTACGAAAGGGCTCATTGATTGTTTAATAATGCAAACCCGATAATCTTTCTACGTCAGTGGCATAAAATAGCGTGCTTACGCTTTGGCTTATTATTTACTGTCGATACGCGGAAAACATCATCCTGAGATATAACTTTAGTTTTTTTTTTTTTTTTTTTTTGCAAAAGGTAAAATAGGAAAGAAACGACCTCGTCCTGTATACGTGAAATAAGCTTGATGTCATCTCGCGATTTAACGAGCTTCGTAAATCCTATGCTTAAACGATCTGGACTTAAGCGTCCTGCAGCTAATTGAGTTTTGCTGAGAGATCGAGCGGGCAATTTACAGCATAGAAGTTTCATTTTCAGCACAGGAGGTGATCTCTTATCTTACTATCAACAAGATGAAATAGGGGAAATTGGAAAAAAAAATTTGAAAGTAGGACTCATAGTTTAGCGTTATTAAATGAAGCAATAAACAAGTCATTTTCCAACGAATTCGGTTGAATTACACTGTAAATCCAAGTGTATGAAACTACATGTTTGAAGTGCGTAGTTGAAGTTTTTTATAAAATATATCGGGGTAGCGTGGATAAGATTTTTAAGAACAACTAAATCTATGGTGTTCACCAAGTGGTTACCCAGTTCCATTAAATTGGAATTTTTTGAATGGGAATAACCAATGTAGGAAAGCTGTGGAGTGGACTATCACTTAACACGATTGCAAGTGTGTAAAATCTGTGACAAAAATATTTTACTCTTTACAGCCTGCTTATGCAAATCTTTGAAGAAAATCAATAGTTTAGTTTAATAGAATAGGTGAAATAGTTCACGAAGCATCGATTTGGTTTTTCTTAAAACTTTTATCAAGACTACTATAACGCATTTTATAAAAATCGGAAATTTCTATTACACGCTTTAAACGTTTACTTTAAGACACTTAGGTTTTACAGTGTACACTGACAAAAAGTATACTTTATGAAACAAATTTTTAGTACCTTAGAACCTGAGTTGATTAATGTAAAAAAATACTATACGTTACAGAGCACCGAAAGCTCGAGAGCCCCAACACCGACAACAGAATCCAGCCCGTCCCAAGCCCAGATCTTGAAAAACCGGCAAAAGTACTTCGGCTCGACCCGCCGGCCCAGCAGCACCCGCCGAGCCACGACCCCGTCCTCGTCCGAGGAACTCTCGTACACGGTCCGAACCCGCAGCCGGCCCAGTTACCACTCTCAGGAGGAGACAAAGCCGCTGCGGGAGCGCACGAAGCTGCGCCGACCTCAAGGCATCCGGAAACGCGTCACGACCACCACCACCACGAGCACCACCACCGAGAACGCGGCGGTCGAGGCCAACAACGAGCTCCCCCCGGACGAGAATTACCCGAGGCCGGTGGCTCAGAGGACCCAGGAGTTGCAGGCGGACTTGTACGACGAGAAGAACCGGGAGCTCTACGACAGGAACCAGCCGGGCAAGAGGCGCGAGCAGGACTTGACGGACGAGAACGTGAGTGTGAGACTTGTCGATTAGTCCAATTATCTTTCAAACCGATGGTGTATCCTTACGGGTACATATACATGAGTTTTATATGACGTAACGAGATCATAATCATTATTGTCTCATAATCCCCGACACAAAAGTGCAAGCATCAACTGCTACCACGATGGTATCTTTTTTTTTTCCACGCGCACATGGGATGTAACACAATGGGCCACGTATTTACTGTATGTGTAAGCACTCTTATCTAGTGTCTTACGTCGATCTTTTCCACAATTATTATATTGAGGAGCTGACTTTATCTTGATGATGCACGCGTAACAAGTTATTACACGTAGATTTGAAATAGAAATAATTATTTGTTAGGTATAAAACTTAAACAAAAGTGAATAGTTCGAAAAAAATGTACAATTAAATATTTTTATGTATGGAATTTCTCGTACTTCAGAGATGGGTCAGTCCCGATGGATTGGAATATTCCATTGTGAATGGATACTCGCATGAATATTCAAACAGTTTAGAAAAGTTTACTCTCCGAGGGAGGAATGAGTCGCACGGTATATAACTAAAGACACTTTTTTCCACGGTAAAATGAATAGTCAATAAAACACAATTGGAAAGAAAAGAAAAACGCTTACGCAAAGCCAATTATTGGATTAAGTGCACAAACAACATGAATGTCATCGCGAGAACAAGCTTGGCTCTGAATATTCATCGTCTAAATGGAGAAAAATCTATATTATTATTCCTTTCAAATAACGTCAAATTCGCTTAGCCACCAGCTGTGCTACTGTGATCAACACAATAGAAAAACTTTCATGGTAAATTGTTCGAAAAGGGGGGGGGGGGCAGCGCGTGGTTCACTATTACACTCTGAACTGAATAATCAATTGTCTTGAAAATTGTTCTGTATAGTGCATATTTATCGCGATCTTCCCCGATATTCCTTAATCGTATGTATCTTAGTTTACCTCACTTCCTTCTTTTCGCCAACTCGGTAATACTGTTCCCACCTGTACAGCGGGCCTTTCTCTTTTTCCCTCCTTTCTTTCTATTTCCACATGGGACTCTCTAATTTCGACTTCCTTCCCTCACCCGTACTTTACTTACACTGCAGCACTTTTTTTTTCTATCCACGCCTCTTGTTCGTATTTTTTCCCCCTCGTTTGCTCTAATGCAATTAGCAGCGTATACGTGACTGGACTTACAATTCTCCTTGTGTAGACCTAATCGGCAGTGTTCGGGGTAACAATTCGAAAAGGCTCTCTTACTTTTGTTAGGATATTTAAGAAAAATAATGATTGGATTTTGATAAAAAATTTCAAACTTATTCAGAACCCACAAGCTGAGAAATTACGTATTTAATTCATACGTACTTTAAATTCTAGATTTCTTGTGACTTTAGTTATGTTTTCTTAACTTACTTATAATTATCGTATTTTAAAATAATTTAGCAATTACAACAATTGTGCAATGTTCAGGACAAAAAGTTAACGTTAAATTATTGTTTTGTATAAACAATTTTTTTAAGAGCTGTTGTTACAAGAGCTATGATGCACTTCTTAAAGTTTACTTTGGTAAAGAATTTCTTTCTACTAATTACTCAGTTGAATGACACATGTTTAAAGTTTATTTGAAGAAGACCATACAAAGGCATTATTTTTAACGCTCTGAGAAATAAACCTTTATTAATTGGACTTTTTTCGAGTGCCCAGAAGGCGAAATCCTTTAAAATCATCTTCCAATGTAAATATTATTAAAAGTACTTAGCGTTCCCAAATTTTCTCACATTTTTTTCACATCTTAAATTTACGCGGCCCATTTTGCAATACACGGAAAGAAAAACATACTTTCTAGGTCGTGCAAAATTCAATTTGGGTAAAAAAATTTTCCACTTTCTTGGTATCGTGTGAAGCACTACACATCCTACACACATATTTTCCCCGACGATGCTCAAGTAAAAAAAAAAACATGACCCGACAAAATAAACTGGAACAACAGCCCGCTGCCGTGTCATTTAATGTCCAATTCCATTTCAGTACCCACAGGAATTTCTCCTGAACTACGGAGCGTCGCAAAGTTTCCACCGCGACGACTACGACCAAGCACAGCTGGCCAGCCGTCAGCAACCGTCCTCGACACGCGCCCGGCTCTCCGGCAACAACCGAGCCGCTTCTGACATTTACGGCGCCGAAAGCCAATGGTCCACCAAAGTGTCGGGCAACTCCTTCCAGCCCAACAGCTACACGCCTAATCACGCCCACGACAATTCGGCCAAGTCCCTCGATTCCCTGGGCAACGAGAAGGCCGGGGATCTCCCGGAAATCATAACAGCCGGACCCGAAGTGCCCTCCATCACCGTACTTGTGAGCTCGGAAGACGAAGAGGACGATCACCACGAGAGCAGTAGCGAGCAGATGAGCTCCAGCTCCGAGGAATCGATCGTTGACACCATGATGAGCACGATGGTCGACTTTGGGAAGAAAATGAACGCCCAGGGAGACGAGGGCTCGGTCACCGCGCTGCCCGAGGGCATGATTCCCGTCACGACTACACCGATCGTTACCATTACCGAGAGTACGTCCCATCAGCCAGCACCGGAGACTAATGCCAAGCTCTCTGGATCGACGTTCAAGAAGGTAAGCACGCCCATCTGGATGATTCATGGTTTTTGTGGTCTTTCGATTCGTAGTTTTAAACATGTGTTTGTTGATAAGGACGGTTCAAGTAAATGAGTTTATTTTTATCGTCAAACGCAAAATCAATACTGCCTTTTCGTTTATTAAGGTTTCACAGTTCAATCGTTTGATTTGACGTTCCACGTTTTAAATTGTCATTTTGTCTTTATAACATAATTTTCATTGATTTTTTTTCGGTTCAATGAAACCGCACGTAACAAAATTTTTTACGCTCCAATACTATTATCACCAATTGAATGAGCTAAAAATAAACCTAATACAACAAATTTTTGACAACTTCAACGATTTTCAAATAAGTCTAATAAAACTCTTTCGTACCACGTGGTTTTTCAGGCTGGACTGAGAAGACGACGCGTTCGCGTGAAGGTGAGACCGGCCGGGGCAAGTTCAGAGGACTTTGTCACCGCAGAATCTCAGAGCTACGACTCGTCGCTGAACAACTTGCCACGAGAGCCAACCAAGTATCGCAACTTCTACGTAACAACTGACAGCCCAACCACCACATCTACGGCAACAGTGACGTCGACATCGACATCAACTACAACTACCACTACAGCAACCTCAGCCGAAGAGGTGGAGAAATCCATCTTTGAATCTTTCCTGGACAAAATGCTAGGTGGAGCTGAGGAAACCTCGCCAACGGTGGTACCTGAAATCATCACTACTACCGCCAGTCCTGAAGTTGAGACTAATCCCGAGGTAGGGGAGACGACCTTGAAAGATAGCAGTAGCTATGCCAACCCAACCATAGCATCCCATCCAACCAGTGAAGATTCGACAATGTTGAATAGTGGAGACAATGAGGAGGTAGTGGGTAACACGGAACTACCTCCAGCCACAACAACAACGTTAATCGACAGCGCAGAAGTTCATTCTACCACAACGACAATGCCAACGACACCTAGTAAGACTAGTCCACCGAGGACGACAATTACGACAACCACGACAACGACACCTAATAAGACCAGCCCACCAAGCACAACAACCACAACAACAACGACGACAACTACGACGACAGAGAAAGTCGACGACGTCAGGAGCAACAGTGGCGAAAACGTTATCCAGTCATTGAACCAAGAAAACTCCTTGAGGTACTTTGCAACCAAAAGCCCAGCGTTCAACGAATACCTGAAGAGCCAGGAAAAGTCAAAGATGTCGGAGGACAACCCAGCCCATCCAAAGAACCACAGATCCAAGTGGAGCGAAGTGAGGTACCTGAACCACAAATGGAGTCCCAAGAGTAACCTGAGCCAGGACTCGAAACGTTCTGAGGAACAGAAACAGACTTCGGCTGAATCTCATACTGGAAACGTCTCTGACTACGTGAAAGCCATCTTTGAGAGCATCAAGAGCGCCGACGAGGAACACCACCAGAAAACCAAGCTTTCTGACAAGACGTTCTTGAGGAAGGACAAGAATCTGTCTGATCCACCGACTGAAATCAAGACCTCTATCTCCTCGTCGAGCAGAGTGGTCTCTCGACCCGTTGGTAGCCACAGCAGCAGCCAGGAAAGTGCTTCGCCCGCTAGTGCGACGACAACGACCGAATCTACGAATACCTTTGGACCCTTCGTACCTTCAATGATGTCGGATAGATTACCGGGTGTTTTGGTGAAGAAGACCCCGTTGGAGCTCAACTTGGGCAAAATCCTGAAGACGACGACAAAAGTGACGCACCAAACGGAAATCTGCTATCGCGGCAGGTGCGTCATGTCCAAGCCCAAAAAGGAGGGTCTCTCGATATGAGCGGTCATTTCGGGTACCAATAGAGCTGGACAGTATTACACTGAATTGAAATCTCGCGAATCGTGCTGATCTCACCATTTGGATGAACAAGTGATTTTGGTTTTTTGTCAAAGTATGGTTTATTTTGTGTACTTTGTTTTCACTACTTTTACGGCTTTTGCATCGAAGCTTGAATGCAAAAGTCGGAAAAGGAATATAACACATGGTTTAAAATTCGAATACTTCCAGCTCTATTGAAAACAGGAAAAAGAAAAGGACACAGCAAAGAACTTATATAAGATAGTCCACAAGAGCACTAATGTTTATTCTTCGAAATTCATAAAAATCATGAAAATCTGAAAAAAAAAGAGAGCCAAGTACTCTCACAATTCTCGTTATTGTATGAAGCGTCAAGGCATCAATTCACAACCGTACAATAAAGAAAGAAGCGTACCAAAAATAATTTATACCGCAAGAATCCTCAAATAAATCTTGTAAGGCTCGAAAAAAAGTACGTTTCTTTACAAAACAAAAGTCTCGTACACACAGCGTAAGATTTAAGGACGATCGTTATTTATTTTCAACGGAACGAGGAAGAGAAAGATGAGGAAAAAAAAAAAAAAAAAAAAATCGCCTGTTTTGACCCGCACGTACATGGGCGTTGTATGATACGGAAAAGCGCAGGAAAAAATTAACGACTCGGTCGACCTTCCATTTTTTTTTTTTTCTCGTCTCACAAGCTTTAAAGAGTACATCGCAATGTGCACACGATTGCAATGGTGTTGGAATTTAATTCCACCCTTCCAGGGCTACTCTCGCCTAACAATTATCTTCTGTATAGTACTTAAAGCGCATTATTTACTCTCTGATACGATAATCGATAAACTTGTGTTTTTTTATTTATTTTTTTTTTGTTTGTTTACGTCCCTTCCAGTAATACTCTTTTACGTTATTTATAAGAAAAATTGGAAAAGTCTTAGTTCGTAGTCTAATAGTTTTTTTTCACTCGAATTCTCGTTGTAATTTGAAATTCTGTAAAGTTACATTTTTTTACTTCGAACTTAAATTGAACGCAAATTCTCCTTTTTATCGCTCACAGCGGAGAGAAGAAGGGGAGGAAGTTAATGAGCTCCAAAAGGAATCCGAGGAATTCGGGATCGCTGTTGAATTTACTCTTTTGCAGCTTGCGAACGAAGGTCCGAGAAAGTCCTTGAGCGAATTACTTTCATTGTACTGTATTTTGACACATGTTCACGCGTAGTTTGTAACGTGTTTATGAATACTGAGTAATCTTAGGATGTAAGTAATTTTTAGTTTTTTAAGTGTATTTAATTTTAATACTCGTTGTAAGTTGTAATGACTAAGAGTGATGATAAAGGTGAGCAAATATTATTGTAATAAACAGTTTGAAAAATTATACCATCTTTTTTTTTAATGCTTATTTTTCTTGAATACTTTGTATTTTCGGGGGACGTTTGCAAATGGTTTAACTATATAAATATAGAAAAACCAAGACTTTGTAATTCAACAGTTTATAGTGAAAAAGTTACGTGGGCAATCTTCTTGTGATGACACGAAATTTTTCATTTTAGTGATGTTTTACTGCAGTAAATTTAAAATTTCAAGTACTAGTTTCTTTTAATCTCATCATTTTCCAGTGCCAAACTTTTCTCAAGGTGAAATTTAAACAACTTCGAGAATGTGCATCCAAATACTCTAGATACCTTTCTTAAAACAATAATTATTATTTTAACATAAAGAAAAAAATTCTTGTGCATTTGAAATGGATTTTTTTTCAGTCCAACAATTTATCCCAAGCCTACGTATAATGACCCACAAAAACAAACAATGGTTACAAGGAAATCTAAAATTTTTCTCCTATTCACACACACACGTAGCCTCAAAACACATTAACGTGTACATCATACACGCGTACATATTCAGTATGTAAAGTAAAAAACGATTCCCAAGAAATATCACCAGAAGAATGAAACATTAAAGTGGACCTCGCAGTACAACGACACAAGCTACATTTTCGCGTGGATTTCTGCTTTTTTCGGAGACGTGTTAGTAAAAACGCTAGTAGACACTCTAAGCTTGACCAAATCCTACCAATTCATCGTGACTTAGCCTCCACTCCAAATCCCATTAGTCTTTTTTGTCTCTCTGACATATTACACATTGTCTTTATTTCCTAAGTACACGTTACTATTAATTAAAAATCTTACTTGACAATAAATTATCTGACGATCCTTACCTAAGAAATACTCGTTTCTTATTTATGTTTCTTAGAAAAAAAAAAAAAATTTATCTTAGTCTTCATTCGTAGATTAGTACAGAATATTTTAAGGATATCATTTCCATACAATAAAGTGAAATAAGATAATCTGCGCAGTACAGAGTTAATTACACATTACTCTATTAAAGAAGAACAGACAAAGTCGTAAGTGTAGAAACATTATGTAAGTAGGTACTAGAGGCTCCCAAACGTAACACAGATGTTTTGTGTTGGAGCTCAGTTTTCTATTACAGGTCTACTTGTCAAAATACGGTAGCTTAATAAGTATATAAATATCTTTGACGTTTTATCCAATATTTTCATTTCTTTGAAACTATTTTTCTTGATACTTTTATTATCATTCGATCGCACAATGAAATTATCGATTGTACAATCAGGAGCTATGGAAAACTCGAAATCTCCCACTTGAACAGCCAAACGGCCTCCAGTGACAATCAGCACACGCTAACTTCTCGGTCTCATTTTCTCAGAGTCCACATCCATCCAACTGACGACCTAGTCCTTATAAAATTCCACTCGCCTAGATCATCTCGAAACCATCTTCGGTAGTCCGGCTTCTCCCCCGCGAAGTGTTCAACCCATCATTAACGGAATAAAAGCTCTCTGGCACTACGTAAGAACAAAAGTGAGAGGACTGACACATACGTATATTCACGGGAAGGGGATAATGTGTACAAGAGTACGGAGTGCGGGTAAAAGTGGGCGAGAGATCGGAAAAAGAGCCCCGACGATTAATGCGATATTTTCGCGAGAGGGAGACGAGAAGCACTATAACGCTGTGGCCCTCGGGGATCGATCGGGCTCTCAGACAAGGGGTGGTGAGCCGGCCATCCCCCTATCCTCTCCCCTTGTTCTCTTCAAAGAATCCGCGAGCAGATGGCGTGCTTCTCTGGCGAAGGTTCGCGCCCCCCTTCCCATTATTCTGCTATTTTTGGAAAGTGTAGCCTATAGCTCTTTCGAAGCTGAAAAACTGGCGCTTGATGGCTTCTAGGTACGCGTGAGTGCTGTTAAGCATTGTAGCATTAACAATGGAACTCTTAAAGTTTTGTAAAAGTTTGACGATGTTTCTATTCAACACGTATTTGTGTAGAAATACCTTTCACTATTACGCATCAAGCTTCATTTTCTTTCATCAAAACTATTTCCATAACATCACTTTCTTTGCAGTACTTATCTATAAGTACTCATTTTTCATAAATTCAAGGATCAGTGTCTCATGTATGAATTCGATTCAATTTCGTTCGGTAAAATATACTTAAGATCCAATACAATCAACCCCAAATAGACAGAAATAGGAATTACTTTACAGAATAAGCTGACAAACTTGAACAACGAATGTGAATTGAGAACAATATATCGTAAAATCAGATGATGGAGAAAAATGTAGATTCACTTATAATAATTTCTATTTTTTTTCTATTGTGCAATTTAGACGACGAATGTTAACGTGTAATACAAACAAGCCATCACTTTTTAATTTTTTTTTTTCACGTATTGAACACATATAACTAGGATCTTGAGTAATTAAACTAATTATCTGTCTGTAATGACTGAAAACACGTTAAAAGAGCTAAAATTAATATTGATCGTGTTAACTAGAAACTTTTTCAACGCAAAATCAACGACGCGATCAATTCGAGTTTGGCCATTTTCAGCATCGATGGTCCAATCGTTTGTCAGTTAAAAATATGTTTTAATCCTCGCTTTAATCAGCACCAGGATTAAATGACACATAGAGTCAGCGACATCCACTGCGGAGTTATCTAGGGCAGATTGGGGATGAAAATATATGATCACGTGCACGTACATGCGGTACTAGCTACTACCCCCGACTCGCCACCCACTTTAATAGGTCGATCGGCGGGCGGACGTGATCGGATATCCATTAATCAGTCCAATTAATTCCATCTGGCACACAACGGTGTGTGCGCGTGTATGCGTGTATTGTACGTGCGAACGCAAACAAACGCACGCGTTATATATTGTGGTCAAAGCACACTATGGGCGTATTATCAACAAACTGGCTTCTGCCATCTTTGAAAGAACTTGGATTTAAAATCTCTTTTTCTCGTGATGGTTCACTTGATTCAAAAAGTTATAAATAGTCGTTGTCGTACATACTTATAAGAGCAATAGGTCTATTCATTATTGTACTGTATTCGACATTCGTGGTGACCAACTTCCCAAAAACCATGTCTATGTTTTGTCATGTGACCTCAAATAAGTCCACTTCGAGCTCCTAAAGCATAATAGTCATAAAAGCCGGTCTATTCCATTGGCATGACACTAATTTGCGAATTTCCACCAACTAACGTGAGTATTTTACACCCTACCAACCAAAAGTACGTGAAACGAGCCTATTAGAAGCGGTAATGGACCATGGTTCTCTGCTTTTGGGCAAGCATAGAAGCCGCTCGTGGATTGAGTTGTGGAAGAAAAGCGCTGAGAGAATGTAAAACTAGATGTACGAGATAAGGGTGGACAACGAGCGATGGGGGCCTCGGAGATTCGTTCAGTTTGGGAGAAGAAGAGTGGAAGGGATGGACGATTACGACGAACAAGGTCTGCTTTGGCAGGAGCAGCTGCCTCTGCAAGACTTTTTTCTTATCGCCACCCTTCATCCGTACGTACATGGATTGACATCCATCGGTCGTGAAAATGGCACCTTTTGTACAAAAGAGCTCGGATGTGGAATAAAAAAGGGCAAGGGAAAGAAAGGTTTGTGCAGCCTGGCAAGGCGAAGAGAAAATTTTCAGAGAAGAAACAGCACGAGCCCAAGATTAACAAAGACAATGGGAGCACTGGCGCTCATGAAAGTCCAAGAGGGTTTTGCCTATATATAATATGTATATGTACGTATAGCCAACGTGTGCTGTATACAGATGATGAGACGGAGTAACGCGAAAACGTGGGGGATAATATAACGTGTAGAGGAGAGAAAATGGGATTAAAAAAGAGAATCCCGCAGTCACTTGGCTGGTGGTGGTGGAAGTATGTACCCACACACTCGTGCTTCTTTCGCGTACACATATAATACACAAATGCAAAGAGAATTTGTATAGACGCGTAGGTAGAGGGGGTCGTGTGTACAGTCGCAACAATGCAATGTTCCAGTGTGGAGACGTAACGAGCCCTTCCCCCCAACCGGAAAGATGTACAGTTGTACATACGACAGGTGCACTATACACCTGCGATACATCTATATGGATTGCGTGTAGATGTATTGAAGAGGGTGGCTGTAAAAGCCCACACATGTAAGCAGGGGAGAGTCGCACATGCGCCCTGTAACCCCAGCAGAGCGCAACCCCCTTTTTTCGGGAGGAAAGAGGGTGTTGGAGCAGCTCCGTTTCCCCTTTGTCCTCAGTACCGAAGCAAAGGTCCGAGCGGTCGCGAGAAGTGTGTGGCGCGCGAGCGCGCGTGCGTGCAGCGTTCGTAGAGTGTCGATATAGCCTGGCCCTCCTGGGCCAGTTGAATTCGTTCCAGTGCGATGCAGGGCGGCGAGGGGTCGGTGGACGAAGCGGCCCCGGGTGGTCAATATTATCCTCGGTTCGGGGAGCCCAGTGGGATAGCGACGGAAGGGATGAGCGAGGACGGGGCGGCGTCGAGGCACCTTTTGCCTGGCGACGGGTTACGTAGGAGAAAGGTCATCAGCGCGGCTAAGGAGACATTCGATAAGGGTGAGTGGGGGTTGTTGTGGTCGTGAGAATTTTTTTTTATTTCGTGGGGTGACAATTCGAGGTTGTTGCGATTTTTATGGGTTGGAGGAACCCAAAGGGGAGGGAAATGGTTTTGAGGGTCCTCGTGATGTTACGTGATTTTCCAAGCTATAGATCCGTGTGAGAAATGTTTGATGTTTTGTGTTTTGAAATTGTGTTACGTCTCATCTGAAACATGATCCAAGGTGGTATACTTTGCAGAGTTTACTGGAAAAGTGGAGTATTCCTGCGGACTTGTACTGTCAATTTTTTATGACTTGATTTTAGAATTTTAGAATTTATTAGCTTGGTCGACGAGTCAAAGTTACTGCTGTTGTGCCTTTTTTTTTTTTTTTTTTTTTTTTTTTACAGAAATGCCCAAGTATACAGTGTCAAGCCAAGTGGAATATTACGTAGTCATTTATTGCATCGCAAGATTATATCGATCGGTATGAAAAGTGCAGTAACCCTAGTTATTGATGGCCATCTCCTTTACATAACACTTTACGTAACCCAATAGAGTTAAAAACCTACCTGAACAAGTTATGATGATCAACAAAATCACTTTGGTGTAATCATTTTATTTCTATTTCTGTTGAATCACAAAAAAAGAAGGAAAGAAGCACATCACCAGATGGTCTTAAATAATTTTCGACCGATCCTCCTACTTCCACTCGGAGTTGGGCTTCCTAAATTTAAACTTTTGTTCCTACCTTTTGTTTTGGCTCGGCCAAACATGCTGAGAAGCACGCCCGTTTCAGAAAGTTATATCCTTTCCACTTATCGAAAATCGATAAACGTGTTGATATTAGTATACAATCTTTCATCTGAACTTCCTAATATCTAACATTATTTTAAACATGTACAATGTTAAAATTGTACATCATTTTATCTAGCGCGTATGATTTTAGTTTAATTGCACGTCTACAACAACGAAATTTAAATTTCTACATCTGAATTAGATTAAATAGTGGTTAGATCTATAATCCATTTGTACGCTTATCCAATTACTTATGTATCAACTTCTTTATTGGAATATAATTTCGTTGATTTAAACAACCTTCAACATAAATGTCCAATACAATGTATCAGGTGAAGAAATGTTTGTAACTTTTATTCCATATTTTAACGGACAACAGCAACTAATTAATGAAATGTATTGAAAAAATTTGTTTAGTTTCTCACCCAATGTATCAAATTGTAACCAATGAAAGTCACAATATATTCAATACGGATAATATATGAAAAGTACAAGTAAAAAATCAAGCTTTATACTTGCTGTAAAGAATTCAATAAATTGAAGTCATTTCAACTTTTGCAATCTAAACTCCAACATATTTCTGAGCTCTGTGATCATCAAAGTTTTCTTCGAGAAAATATCTTTCTATTATTCAAATACCTGAGTGACATGAACAATTAACTTTTTGAAAGTTTAACACAGAGTGTGAGGTCTTCAACAGAGTCTCTGGAAGATGCATGTTATAGTTACGAACGTCAATGGCACCGTAAAGAATAGAGTATATAAAATCCCACAAAATCATGCCGATCCATTGATTGATTGTTATGGTTCAAAAGTGCCAATAACTTACGACTCCTCGATACTATCGAAAAATTCTGAACAATAAACAGCAAGTGATAGTTTTAGAGCCAATCACCTTTAAAAAAAATTAACTCCTAAAAATTCTCTTGATGAGTAGCAAAGAAGCACTTCAGTCTTCAATCATTCGGTACCTTGTCCGATTTCTGTTTCACTGAGTTCAAACAAAAATACATAGAAGAATGTTTCTTGCACAGTAAAAGTCGAAGGTTGTAAAGATTTAAAATGTATTAACTCTATATTATTTAAGGATCTGACTCCATCGTAATCTAATTCCTACAACGCATAATTTACGGGTAGCTCAGTGTTCACTAAAAAAAAGTGCGATTGGTATCTGGATAATAGGGTTTAGTTTTGAGTCGATAGTATAATCATACCCCGTAGGGTGGAAACTAGACTTTAGACTGACTAGGCGCACGCGACAAAATACAATTTTTTATGCGATGCTTCATGAAATATCTTTGACAGCTCCACCACAGGAAATATCGTTTTCAACTTTTAACTTTGAAGAAAAACACTGCAGATTAATTTACTGTAGTTGTTAAGGTTGTAACGCAACAACACAACTAATTGTCTAAAAAAACGAAATTACTTACATCTTTCAACTTTGGCAAAACATTTAATAGCTTACAAATAATGATTTGCTTGAACTATTAAAAATTGATGATTCATAAACAATAAGTCAATCACGATTATCTGTACCTCACGGTACCGCTTCCTGTGAGCAAGCTTCCAGTGATTTTTTCCCGATCAAAGTGACCACGAGCTCGAAATTCAAAGCTCCCATGGTCGCAGGTGCAAATATCAGTCATCCCCATCGCACAATCCTCTCTTTATCGAACATACATTTATGCGCCAGCTGCTGCAAAAGCTCAGAGAGCCGCCAGCATTCGATCCATCAAACTCTGCTCGTGATCGGTAACCCATTGAACCTCGACGCTCGGCCACTGTTGCATAATTAAGCACGCGCGCACATGTGGTAATCAAGTTCATCAATGCCACGAAGCTGGATTCCACGAATGGAAATGGGTTAGCGTCCAATTTACAAATATATTAAGCCTTCGTTCTGATGAGGTGATGAAAACGAGATGATCCATCGACCGATCGCACGTGGACTGCACACGTCAACGTTATACAGTAGCACTGCCTGGGTTGAGTACCTATTCTACCGCTGTTGCTAATCTTCGAGGATTCTATCTCGATTAGCTTATTGATTCGTTCGCAGCCTAATTTAAAATGCACGCCGTGAATATATTCTGCACATTTGCACATGATAGGAGTTATCCGTGACCTCCTGTCCTTCTATTGTTTTAAGTTGTAAAGGTCTATACTTTAGTGGACTGATGGTTTGTTTATATTGTCTGGTGATATAATAAACGATGGGAGTACTTTGATGAGATTGGAGATGGAGAAACTTTAAATTTTGAGCTTTATCTTCGGTCTAGGTAATACTTTTTTCCAGAATTTTCCACCTCGGTGACAATTTTACTTTTTAAGCTAATGGGCATTATCTTTACTTTTCATTGTAAATTACCTAATGGATCCAAAATAGAGAGCTTACATGAGTTTTTTCATAATGCACACTCTAAAAAGTTTTTTCTACAGCGTATTAAAAGTAATGATGGACAAAACAAAACTGGATTTTCAATTTAAAAGTTAGCAATGTCATAAAACCAGCGTCAGAATGGTATATTATACGTACAGAAATAATACTTTTGGGTGACACGAAGTGTGTTACTCTTGATTAAAGCATCTGCACGAACCAATAATAATTTGAGGATTTCATGTTTATTTTAAGACTTCAGTCAGTGTTACTGTTCGTTTCTCTATTGTAAATGAATCCGCTTACTTGATAAATTTTTGCAGTGTCGTTTACTTCCACGAATCACACGTATATTTTGATCCTAGCAAATATATATTATTGAAACTATCAAACGTTACTTATGAAGTTGAGAAGAAATACAATAAAATAGGAATATATTAATCAGGTGGTGTTTGGTATCTGCGATGTTATTACGATGCTTTTAAAGTAATTCGTAAAATAGTGAAACGCTAAGAAACATCTGAATGTTTGTGCTCAAAAAGCAGGATATAGTGAAAAAATATATGACGTGGTGTGTGCGATGCACTTTAACAGATGAGTCCTCTCAAAAAATTCAAAATTTTTTTGTCTGGTTAATTTTTTATCAGGCTACGTGGCTAAAAAAAGTCACACTGAATATTTAATTTACTCTCTCGTTTATGGATATGAATTGTTATTCCACTCATAAGACTTCAAACGAGCAAAGTAAAATTCAACATCATGGAAATACTTATTTACAAGCGTTTACGATTCGAAACTGAAAATCTCTCATTATCCTCTGCTGTTCCTGATATACAATGAGGCCGAACTGATGCCTATCGATTATTTTCTTTAAAAGATATTAGAGCGTACACGAATGGTAAAGCAACGAATTCTTTTTCATTAGTCTCCGAGTTTCTGAGGGCTTTCTTCTGGTTAGTCGTGATCTCCTCGAATCATAAATCACGAATTTGTCGTGCACATGGGTATTGTTTAGTACTTTTCCTGTAAATCTGCTAGTCACACCCTCTACGCGTCATTTTGGGATTTTCCTACCAGGGAGTTGACAAAGTACTCCATACTTCACTCCTGTCAGTTCATTCCGAAATGTATACCTGATGAAAATGGACGAGGCTCAGCTTTGCTTTTTTTTTCGTAATTTGGAGGATGGATATACGCTGGGAAACATTGGCGATTACTTTTGATTCTTTCACATACACATGTACTCACATCAAGTTAATAACCGCATACTTATTGTTGAATATTTACGGTTTATCATTCGTGTTTCTAATTTACTCGTTTCGAAGTTACAGTGGCAAGAAAATTTTCCACAAGTTACGAAACTTTTGGCAGGTTGCGAAATTTTTCTTGGTTTATTAATTTCTGAATAACATGTAACAGGTGAACGATTAACGATCTAGTGATGATCATTCGTGTACACCGAAGGGTGGTTATTTGGGATGGTCATTGGAGAATTGTTACCCATCATTGTCCTTGTCACTTATTTTTCACAATTGAAAGAGATGTGAAAACCCAGTCAACTACATAAGCTTCTTTACTTTGTGTTCTTCCTTCAAAACAATATTTTTCCTGATTTCAAAAGTGGAGTCTCAATTTTTTTTCGCCACAGTTTTTATTTCACACCGAGATTTCTTCAAATTGAAAAAAAATGGCATAGTGCTATCGACGACATAGATTTTACGAAAACATCCTAATACCATCGCGTGTGTTGCCACTGCACCTACGTCAAAGCTTCATTTACACGCTGAAACAACCCCTCTCTGCTTATACTTGCACATCTAATAGGTACACACACATAGCAATCGCATGCACGAAGGAGGCTATCGTTCGCGCATACGCTTTTTAGGCCAATGTTCCCGCGAAACGTAACACGCGAGGCTCCTTCGCCTCGGTGTCAAAGATCTCATTAATGGGCGCGAGAAAAAATTCTTCGTACTCTTTACCCTTACCTTTTACAGGTCTACTTTTTTTTTTTTTTTTTTTTTTTGCGTTAAAATACAACGAGTGTGTGATTTTACCTTGTCACATACCATTGTGTGTACCTCTTGCCTGAAGAGCTCATTCAAGGGACCGAGTTGAGTGGTAATTGTAGTGTTGCGAGAATCGATTCGATTAATGAAGTTGTTCCGCCCCTACGAATAAATTTACAGTAGTGTGAGGTCGTACAATAATTTCTCGGTTCGTATATAGTTGCACTCGAGGGAATTGCGCACCATTAGAGCGCGAGTTCCCTGTAGTGTTGATATTACTGTTGTTGTATACGTTCTAGTTTCAGGATGATGTTAAAATTTCGCTAATCTAATTTGTGTGCAAAGAGCTCTAGCTTGATAATCATAAACAAGGATTATAATGTTTGAACATCGCCGAGGTTGCGAGTTTGTTGAGGGTGAGACCGATCGTGGACTATAAATGGCGATAATGGCACGTTGCTGCAGTGTTGTAAGTAGTACAATTTTCTGTAGAGCTCTGACTCAATGACAGAATAGACCTGTCAGTTCATCATGCATACGTATAAATTTATTTTTTGTATAACATTTAGGTAGAGATATATCTATTCGTTCGTCGGCTATAATAGATTATCGGAAAATTTTAGATCCATGTTTATCCTTTTTTTCGTGTGACCAAAAATAAAAGAAGGAGCTCTTCAAAATTTAGGAGTGGGTGTAATGTATGGCGTCACAAAGATTTAATAGAGTTTTGCTTGAACTTACTCCAAGGTTTTTTTTTTGGTGCTAGATAACGTGTCATGTGTCGAACTGCGACGTTTCTCCACGCGTTAATTTTAAGCCCCTCCTGGATATCTTGATCTTCCATCAGATTGCGGCCTATGTACCGATGCACACGTTTATACAGTGCAACGGAAATTCAATACTCCCAGTGATCGTGTCGGAGCGTGTCGATGATGCCTTACTAGTCGATCGATGAAATTTCTATCGTATGGGTACACACCTCGCGTCTTGGTGCTCTTTGTATGAGAAGTTTGTACTTGTGATTCGAGCTCTTGATGCTATATGTGCGCCATTGACGACCCGATGGTGTATACGTACGCGCAATCAAAGACTCGTGTACTTCAATCTTGCACAAGGTGGGGGGAGGGGGAACAGATTGCAATACATTGGTAACGACAACTATGACCCATTTGGAGGATTTTTATGCAGTGATAATAGCCGTCTTGAGGCGAAGTATTTTTTTTTTATGATTATTATTTTTTCAATGTCTTCTTTTGACTATACCAACGAGTGATTTTTAACGTTGGCTTGGAACGTTGTGAGTGGTAATGACCAGTTTTTCCATCAAAAATGGGTAGAACATATGCAGTTGTTTGTTGTTGAAAAAAAAAAAAAAAATACAAGAGTTGGTAGAGAACACACTTTAAAAAGTGTATAAAATAATAATTTTTCTCACACACAAATTTCAGAAATTTTGTACGCAACTGGCATGGATGTATGCCCATAAAGTATTTCTATATTCAAATCAGTTCATAAAATACCCATTTTCTTCACACAAGTACAAAAAAAAAATCGAATTACAAATATGCACGTCCGTCAGCAAAAAGTAACCAAATTTCAAAGTACACCACTTTAAACATTCAATGTACCCACATACTCTAGACTATTATTGTTGAAAAAATTCGCTTTAAAAGCTTTCAAAACTACAACATTTTATTTTTTAACTTTTCAGCGTCCCGCCTCTTGAGACGAAAAATACCATGCACCGGCCATTTAATGACCCCCCGCCGCCTGTGGATACAAAAAGTTCCCACACAAGTAAGTCGCAACTCTCTATACTTACGTACTCTGTTGTCATTGCTTCGCATTCTTCAGCAGCCCAAATCTCCTTTTTCTATCTCTTGTAATAACTGCCAAAGTACGAAGGATTAGATAAATTCCAATCTCAAATTAAAAGAGCCAATCACCGACAACGCGAAATAATCACCCCTCCTTATTGATCCTCTCGACACGACGAAGCCCAAACGCTCCTCCCCCCACGTCTCATTAAGATGAACCGCGCGCGGTGCGACGCTTAGCTAAGCACAAAGAAGCGCTTCGTTTTCTCAATCGAGACGTCTCTGCTGCTGATGACGGTAACACGTGGCAAACGCTTGTTGGCCCAAGTGGGCTGCGATTGCGAGTTTGCCAAGTGATGGGGGCGAGTTTAACGAGCGGCTGCACGTATATACACTCCGGTTAGCAGCGTCATCGAGGGATATATATGTCCTTGTAAACTCGTTGTTGTGATTCGCGTTTTTTTTTTTTTTTTTCGAATTGAAATTTTATCGATTGGTTTGAGCAATGACTCTCGGTGACCTACATTTTTCACGTGCCCGGAAATTATTCGTTCTTGGATCGCGTCCATTTTCCGCGTATGAATATGCATGATGGAAATTTGCGCGCGTCATCGCTGTGCCGTTTTACGGTGCCAAGAGAACTTGTGAGTCTCGTTAGTTTTTATAAATTTTCATTTCCACTTCGTGGTTATTAAAGTGGCGAATTTGCATCGTGTACAAAAAGAATGGTAAAATGAAAAGAAAAAAAACAAAAGAAATGATAACGAAACGTGCCTGACTTTTTTTTGCATTCGCTTAGGGGGGGGGGGGTGTAAAGCATTGAAGCTTTTGGACATGAAAAGCTTCACAGCTGATACCAATTTCGTTGTAAAAGCAAGTGTGTGTTGGGAAAATGGGGCGAAATTTTTTCGTCGAGAGCAAAAGAGCAGAAAAACATATTCATACTTTCGAAACTTTGTTAACCAAAGACTTTACGGGTACACAAGAAAGGTGATTCAAAATGAAAAAAATAATGGCAGTGGGTCGTATTTGGCAAAGTTAATCGTGAAAAGATAACTGTTAAAAATGCCAAAAAATAAAATATAAATATGGGAAAACAGGACAACCAAATTTTATCAGGTATCGTAGAGTGTATAATGAAGAGTTAGAAAAATGTAAAAGTTAAAACAATCTCTCATGCGCTCGATATCGTACAAAGTAGATTGTGCAAGTGATTACGACAACATAAAGACTATTGCGTGAAATTTTCATCATCTGATAATTTTTCAAGAATTTGCAACATGAAGACTCAGGCTATTGTCAGATTTCGACATCTTGCAGAATCTATCATAAACATGATATGTGAATCCCCATTTAACGCTTGATCATTACGCATTTTTTTATATCTATAAAATAACTTACTACCTATTATTATTATCTATAACTATATAAAAACGACCCACCGACACTTCTCAATCATTGGTATTTCTCCAACAATATTCGATTGATAAACCTACATCCATACGTAAAAACAGACACGCACACCTTAGGTGTTTCAAAGGTACACTGTACGTGAGCATACATAATCAGCGTGCGTCTAATACACCCTCAGGTTATCCTACCAATTAGAAGCAAAGAGCACGCATTCAGACGCGCTTCCACGTGCGAGTGAAATGTATACTTACTCTTCGATTCTCTTGCGTACGCGTCAGCAAATTTGGTGGAAACCACGGCTTTGTCGATTAGATTATTCGAAGCTGAATGCACGACTGGATCCCTAATATTGTACTGATGATATTTGGTTCGTGTGCGAGTTTTCACTCGGTTTGACGTTTTGATTCGGTGGTTGTTGATGATTATTGAGGATAATAATATTAATTTGCTCAACCCGAGGGGCTTTTGGTCGAGGCTATTTATACTGACTTACAAGCAATGAATAACAAACACTTCCTTTGTAAAAGATTTGTTTCAATGGAAATTCAATGTCGAATATCATATGTTGCAGAAAACTTACTCGTGATAGCTAACTAACTACGTCACACATTAATGACCACCAGAGATTTCAGAAGACTAGACTAGATTCGTTTTTCGTATGTATATAGACACGAAGAGTTTAATTTTGTGGAATAAACGTCGAAAATTTAGGTTTAAAAAAATAAAAGTCCCTAGAGGACCGAATTCCACCAACACACAATGTTGGCACGGTACATTGCTTCTCTCCCACTGGATCGTGAATATAACAAACGTACAAACAACATTTAGCTTCATCTCTAAATTGCACCCACTTCTAACACAAAAGGACGCGTGCAAAATCCAGTTAATGCATGCACGAGCAGGCGTACACAAATCCACAAATGCACACAGGCCAAGTGTCCCGTGGGGCTGTTATCGCGTCGTGCAGATAAATAGTTCAGGTCCATCCGGGGCTGAATGAGACCCCCCAAGCGATACATCTATACCCACACTAACTCGTAAATTCCACCAGGGGACAGTGGCGAGTTGCTGCAAAAGAATATCTCTTATCTCTCCGCTCTGCCGGGTATTGCCTCGCTTCGAATGTTCCTCAGGGAAGCCATTGTTAACCTTCATTTGCTAAAAGTTTTTCGAAATAACCTAAGATTGCGCTTATATTCATCAGAATCCAGAAGCTACACACTTGTTTAATCAGCCACTGCTCATTGCGCGCAACTCCGTGACCGTAATAAGTAGCTTATCGTCGATTTCCAGGCTCCCGTCTCGCACGTGTTATCTGTAAACGCATTGCGAGCTCGTCCTTCGCATAACTCACAATTCAGTGCTACCCCATCACGTGGTGGGTTATATGCATCTATAGACCGCATAAATGCCGTGTGCTTGTGATTTCCTTTGCGTCATTGTCGTTTCTCTGTGCTCGAGGATGGTTTTGTCATTCGCGAAGCATCTTTGGGAGATGGTTCGAATTCCTGGCTTGAGCTGATTAGCTTTCTCGAGGGGGATGGAGTATGCGGATGACAATGCGTTTACTTGGGCATTATGAGCTAATGGCATTGTTCGGTATTCCGAGGGTGAAGAGCCGCGAATGGAAAGTTCCGGGAGACTTGAATTTTGGCTCCGTGTGCGGGTGTGAGTGTGCGAATTCGGTTGGACAAGAAAGTGTGTCAAAAGGTTACTGCCGGGCTACGTGCCAGTTGGGAGGGTGTAGAAAGGATGCGTCGAAGTTGTAGGGAAGAACAACGCGTTGTGGAATTGTTTTTGATGGGAAAATTATTAAGGGGGGGTGTATCTCAAGAATCTTCATAACAAAATGAATAATAGATGTGCAACTTGTTTCGATGCCCATACAATTAACATATACCATATGTTCAATCTGCAAAATTATCAATAATATCATCACATGTTTATCACGTTTTAACAAAATTATCAAGAGATGAATTCGTGCTTGCAATGTGATTATGGATAGTGGAGACGCCAGTTGAATTGGAGTTAATGTTGATGGGGTTAGAATTACGTAACATTACTACTAGATTCCTCTAAACATTAGTTTGTATGTAAACGGTGTGACAGTTTGGCATTACCACCTGGATGACATCATACAACATCTTAATTGGGTAACTAACCTATTTTATTACAGCAGTTTTACTATTTCTGAAATAATGATAGTTTTTGTCATTTAATTTTCGACAATTTTATTTTCCTACCTTGCGCGTTTTTGAGGGTTGGATGTGCCCTAGGTAAAAAAAACAACGTTCGGCACCTAAGTGCCATCTATGCGGGGCTACCTTATGGTCCACAAAATATCCTGGAAGACGATGGCACTTTAGTGACCAAAACTATAAGTATTATTATTCTTAAAAACTCTCATGTACAGTATTCTAATTATGTAGACAATTCCAAATTATACTTACTCAAAAGTCAAATAACAGAACCCTTCCGATTCTACTATCAGATCAAATGGAAGTGCAAGAATTAGTACAACAATAATATGAGGCGAAAGGGTTTAACATCCCATATAACATAATGTAGTGTTTACTTGATGATTAAACGAACTTCTAGTAAAGCTCTATCATATTTGCATGAGTAGCTCGTTTGATTACGATTAGTCGGTAAAGTGTAACGATAGATTTTAAAAATTTCGTTTCATTTATGTCACAATACAATCGTGATTAAACATTACGAATTTGATTTATTGAAGCCATTTTTTAAAGCAACACAGTATCCTACCTTACCACTACTAGGGGTATTTATTTGATTTTAAAAAATTTACAGTTCAAACAATATTTACATACGCATTGCTCGTTCGGTGTTTAATATATCTAGAAAAAGGACGATGAGTATTGTTAAAATTAGTTGCGTGTATTTTGCACATCACATGACAACCTTTGTTCTGCAATTTCCGCCAAACACTCACTTTCCATCACATTCAAGTACGTCATGCTCCATTATTGATTTCATCGTCACGCAGGAACGAGCGAAATGTTCGTATCCATGTAAGCTTTTCCACTCCACCTATGTATAAGTTATGTGCACGTTTGCACAACCGCTGCACATGCTTCAACATCTGCCTCAATCTTCGTAACGTGTCACCTCGAAGTGTAGGCTCTTACCGTTATTGAAGCGCGCAGCTGATTGCATCTTTATGGTTTATGATTGGTACTTGGAATAACTAGCTGTGATCAATAGTTCGGCTTTTAAAAATTCGAAATGATCCCTACGTGTTTGTCGAGAATTTACTTTGAGAAATGCTGCGAGTGGAAATCTTATTGGGCCTTTTTTTCAACGCCATTTTTTTTAAAGGTAGTTGTAAAAATGGCCAAATCTGTACATCAGTCACAATATCACCAAATTTACCAAATTGAAGAATGTTTTCTAAAAATACAAACTAGATACTTTAAATCAAATAAATAATTTCTAATCATATTTTACACTGTGTTATAGGTACGTACACTTGACTTTACAAGGATGATTTGTTTCAAATGTGGTTATCTAACGATATTATGATGTCAAACAACCTATGTGTACTTA